TCTCGTCTTGAAGAAACTGTTTGCATAAAGTTCATTTTCAATTCTTTCAATTTTACAAATCCAGAAAACTATGATAGACAATAAAGCCGATCTGCATTAAAATAATGTAAGCTTCAGTCTTGCATTAACAGCTACGTGAAAGGAGTCTGGATATGAGCTACGCTGTTGTAAATGTCAGCTACAATATTGTTACAAACAATTTTAGAGAATTTTTCATAAAGATCTTCAAGGAAATACATTGGTGCTAGCCCACACAAAAGATTACTGGTTTTCGTGGCTGCATATTCAATCTTTGCAACACAAAGAACAGTGACTACATTGTTACAGTACAATACCAGCAAGATATACGAACACCCTAGTCAATATTATGATTCTTTTAACATGTGTTTCAGAAGACAAGGATCTGAGAGGATATGTAAGAGAGGGATTATAGCATCAAGGAACTAATTAGTCATGACAGGAATATAGATGAAGAATAATTTCAGATGGAAAGTGTAGTACAAATTCTGGCACACGCGGCTAAGATAGCTGTAAACAGGAAGAGTTGAAAAACCCAGATATTTTATCCATTACTAGCTAAGCTATCATGACTATCCTGGATACGATTCTTGCTCCAAGTCATGACAAAATTATGACATTAATTAGACAGAGATCCATTTAGTACACAAAATTAATTTAGTTTAGTGAGCTTTATAATGATAGTGTTAATGGGTTCAAAAAACGATCTTGGATCTTAACAACAGAAAGGCGTACACCAACCTACAGCTCTTTCAATATCTGTTAGATTGTAGTGGCATCAACTTGTAAATTAGGGATCTTAAGCTCGACTGCTAGTTGAATATTTGGAAATCATTGTAACCTACTTTAATATGCATCAAATGCACTTCCTATTTATATTCAGGCTCACTAAGAGAGTGCAATCTTCTAATTTCACTTAGTGGCTAAACAATAACACATAATATAAATGTAATATAATGAAAATTACTGCTTTACCGGTTGGTGATAAAGTTGTATAGGCAGAGCTGTACACACTTTTGGAGTGTAGAACAGGATGGTTCTAATTTGCTACCAAGAGTTACATGCTTAATGCATACATTAGGCAACTGTAACTTTTCCATGTCTCTCCATGTCTTAGATATGGACAATTGACTGGTGATTGATTAAGCATGAAATTTAGAGTAGCAACTTAGAACACCAAAAGTTCTAAACACCAAAAGTGCATTTTTATAATTGTTCTTTACTTGGATCAGAGAATCTATGAAAACACTATATAAAATTTCTTAATGGCAAAATTAGTTGTACCTGTAACAAACAGACCAGAATATGGTCACTTAGGCACAGGCTCTTGCTCTTTCATATCAAATCACTGTATGTTGGTCTTGGGTCAAAACATTACCAAACAGGCTGAATTCAATATCAAATATACAATACAGTTCAATATTTGATACTGTGTCCTTACAGAGTTTGTTCAACAGAGATATCATCTCTTTACCTTATTTTGCTGAAATCAGGTAAAATGTATTGAGATATGGATCTTTATATGGGTTTGCCATACTTTCTAGCATTTACCTAATGTAAAAAGTATATTTAAGAGTGTAGCACTGAAATAAGACATCCATTCTATACACAGACTTCAAATCTAATAACAAACAACTTATTGAACTCTATGTTTGGTAATTCAATCTGAGAATAATGAATGCGGTATTTGATGGGTGACCAGGTAACCACAGCTAAAACGTTTTCCCTTTCTTTCCTAATGGAAACTTCATTTCAGCTAGTTGAATAGCTGTTCTTGGCACATTGCAAAAATACAATCTTAACAGAGTGAATAGAAAGTGACCATATTTCCTCAGATTTCTGTTACTAAGGGATACATAAGATGTTATCAAGCATTTCAAAAGATTTTGAAAACTAGCATTAGAGGGGAAATGCCAAATTCCCTTTTCTTAGTCTTAAACCATGTATTTCTTTCCATTGTCTTGGATATGGAATTGTCAATGTGTATTTTTGTATGTATGTGCATCTTTGCTTCATCCTTAGTAAGTAAGCTACAGTGCATGAAACCTCTCAACCTGGCTGCTTTGTTATATTACATATATTAAGAGTTGCAAAAGCATGATTCTAGACTCAGAATTTGCAATTTATAGCCTGGCTGCATCAGCACAAAAGCCCTGCAAAAAAGCTCCACTAGTAGGAATGAGTTGGAAACCACACAAGAAGGGTAGTTACAGAAGAATATTTGTGTTTTTTTACAAAGAGTAAGTCAAAAAGAAATTTCTATTTCCCTAAATATCTGAGGTAGGGTATTTCTTTTTGTAACATTAAATGTTAATCAAAGTTCCTTTGAGTGGAGTATGTTTCACTAGCAAACAAAATTTAATCATTTTGTACTTCTCTAAACATTTTTCAGAAGTCATACTAAGGAAAATAGTTCTTAGGAATTTCAACTTCAAAATATTCTAAAATTACATTGAAAACTTCTGTCCAAACCATAAGTGTTGAATCTAGATATTTCTAAAAATTACCCAAGTTTATGTCTTCAGTAAACTAAATGAAACCTCAATAACTGTAAAAATACCAGGACACAACAAGATTACTTGCAATAATTTAAGCAACAAATGTGACACAAAACCTTGAAATACTTGAATATGCACATACTGCCAGACAAAATCACTTTGACCAAGTACTTACTCTAATATCTAAAAAGTTCTTGAGGACAGAAATGTGGTACTAGCTATTGAAGAAGCTCTTTCTACGTCATTGATTTAATGTACTTAAATGGTATTCTTCTGTTGAAACTTAAAACTACTTACAGACACTTTTTTACTTTTGGCATTACAAATTAAGCAAAACACATCTAATTTACTAGGGGGTGCTCACTCCTCAATTAGTTTATAAACTACTGAGATAATTTCCTCCTTTAAATACTTCCCTGGGTATAATACTAGCCTGTTTGTCTACACTTTATTTGCTCCATAATGTTATTCAATTATTAAACTTCCTTTTACATTGTTTATACCTTTTAAAAGTGGATTAATGTGAGTTTGTAACAAATGCAAGTATACAGAGGAATTAACTAAAATAAAAAACTGAACTGAACTGAAACAAACTACATGGTTATAAAGACAGGAAAGAGGAAAAGAGAGCAAGTTGGTCAATGTTATTCATGATTTGTGATATCATTAAAAAGATAAAATGTGAGAAAACATATGGAGTCATTAATTTCAATGTCTGTTTAACTGTTATAAATTAATTCAGTAGGCCAGCAGAATGGTCCTAAAGTCCTTGTAAACTATGGAAATACTAATTCTTTAAGAATCAATCAAAGGTCTATACTCAGAATGAAGAATTGTTATGAGAGAAAAATACTAAGCAGTTTGTACAAAAAATTCTTGGAATTATAACAATGTATTGAGCATAATATTGGGTGTGTAGAGAAGGGTATGCAAGCAAAACTAATAGCCAAATGCCACCAGGAAATTCTGTAAACTCTTCTGTATTGATTTAAATTATAATCATTTAAAGTAAAAACACAAAATATATATATATACAGAGATGCATAAAATGGATCAAAATTTTTGCTTTCTATTGTAGAAGAATTCCCTTTTCAAATATTCCAAAACAAATTCAAGCATAAATGATTAGTTTCAGTACTCTAAGTGAACAAACAGTATGACTAATCACGAAAATGTCTGACTAATACTTCAAACAATCAAGGAATCTAGTTGAAAACTCTGATTTTAATGTAATTGGTTGCAATTAAACCTCAATATATTAAACAAATGATTGGCCTTTGAAGGATGGAATTGAGTAAAAATATCGCTAAAACATCATTTGCACTTGATCACATTTCAAATTATTGCATAAGGAAACTGGAAATTGGCTACGAGGATGTCAAAGGGAGTGTCATACCAAAATCTGTATGATTGAATTAAAACATAAATAAAAAGAAAGACTGTGAAATGTGTACTTGTTATTGTGATTGCACAGCTCTGATTGAATCAATTTACATGATTAACAACTAAAAAACCTGAGATTCTTAAGAAATAAGAGGCTAATCTTAATATAATTAGTTGTTAATGTTCCCAATAAACTTGCTTTATAGGATTAAAAGTTAGATAAGAATGAACATGATTCATTTCATATTACTAAAAAATTTAACCAAATAAAACATATATTTTCCAGGACTGGAATACAAATACACAATTTCTTTATTTAAAAATGCATAACTTGTATGCTTTAGCTTATGATCTAGAGCGAAGCATGCTTTTCCAAAATTCTTGAAAAATCTGTTTCATTTTTTAAAATTATTGAAAGTAAAAGAAGGCATCCTGATATCAGTCCAGTGCTACAAATCCAATTATGACAATGTCTTTACTGAACAAGAGAACACAGTGAACACAGGTACAACATGCAAGACTGAAGTACAAATTGGCAGCCATTGAAATGGCATCTAGTAGTGTCTGCTATATGTTAATGCCTTCCTTTTCTACATACTGGCCTAAATTGTATCAAGTGGAATTACACCCCAAGGTGTATAACCACCTGCCTGCAAGTCAACAGAAAACTTTACAATTTAGCAGTTAGAGGTAAAAGACTGCCATGGACTAACACTATGAGGCTCATTAGATACAGGTGTACAGTTGTTCATTCCAAGTTAACAAACACACTTGGTTGAAAAATTATGGTTCGTTGGGTTGGTGTCCACGTTATGAGCCCAAGGAGAGAGAAATTGGTTTGTTCACAAAATTAATTTCAGCTATGAAACGAGAGCCAAAAATGTAACCAATGCAAGCCACATATTGCTGCATACAACGCAATGCAACCCCCTTCTTAGCAAGTCAATTTTTTCGTACGATCAATGATTGGTTATTGTAATACGGATAGTCTGGCCTAGTCACTTGTAAGACGCCCAGCCCACAAACATCTCTCCTTTCCCGATCTAAGAACAAAAAGATTTATATATCAAATAATATCATCATAGAGAAAGATACTCTTACCAGTAATAGGTGCCTCCACATCCAACATTGTTTTCTCTTGGCGAAGAATATTTGCACCTTCATTTATGATGTGTAGAGCAGCTTCATCTTCAAGTCGGCCTTCCAAGATAAAATGGGCCTTAATCACATCGGCTCTCGGTTTGCCATTCGCGTCTAAGATCTCCTTTATAGTCAGTCGATGTGTTGGGGGCATCGGAACATCTTTGAAAAAAGAAAGAAAGTTGATGTTAAAGGGTGAAGCGGCCAATCTTCGCCAACAAGTATGCGAATCATCGCAGATTCGACTCGGACAATAAGCCAGCTAATACAGCGTATATTAAATCATCTAAAACATGAAAAATGTCTTCGCCGAGCAAACAGCCTAATTCCATAGTAATCACCAACACTCCGAACCACTAACTGGCGAAGAAACCTTAACAGCAATTTAAAACTTCCGCGAGGACGTATCCTGATAACTCGCTTCACTGTTTTCATTGCCGTACATCAAGTATGCAGCAAGAGCGCAAAAAGCAGCTAAGAATACTAACGTTTTAGGATGCGTTCCTTTGTGGGCAGCTTTCCTTCCTGTGTCGCCATATTGCAAGGTCACTCGTCTATAAATGATAAGAATTTTGCAGTGTATCCTAAAGACAAACCGCGATAAAATTTGCTAAAGTTCAACACATCTTTTCATTAATGACGATCAATATGGCAGCCAACAACAATCTTCGAAATCATCTTTTGTTGGACTGGTACTGCCCTGTGTAGCGCATGCGTACAATGCACTGGCGTTCCTTGGTTACAAGATCGACCTCCATCATTTTCCGTCCTCAATTCCCGCTTGATGCATATTCAACAATAAAATATATAAAATAAATCTTCGTTATTATTCTAATCGTCTTTAGTTCGCCATTCATAAGATCATCATCATGTTTTCAGTTTTCTATTTGAATTTTACATGAAACAATATTGCTCTTTGTTGTGCTGTATTAATCATTGCGGTGCGGAGTCATTCAATTCAAACTTCGATTTTGACGCAAGTGACCCTTGGCTAAAATAGTCGTGACACTGATGCAAGAAACAAGCAGAAGTGAACACGGAAAGGTAAACTGACCTCTAAAGAAACAGTTATGAGAAATGAGTAGAAAAGCAAGATATCTAGTTAGAACCATAGGCCAAATTGCATTCTCAAAAGTAAACGATTGCCACTCAAGAATTTTGGCAAAGTTTTCAACCAAGGTCGGAAAAAGACGTAGGTAGGTAATACTGGTTGAGTACACAATCGAAAACCACAGATTTTCTTCGAAACGTTTGGCAAACTTTTGTCAAAATGGAAATACTCTTTTTGGGACACTTTTGATAGAAGAACGACGTAATGACGTTGCGTTGAATTGAATTTGCAAATGAAATTGTTCAGATATGGGCAGGGACGCCCGAGCCGATAAAGGGCAAGGGGGCAGAAATTTAGAAAGGGCATCTTTAGTGACTAGAACGGCGCATATAATTAGCAGTGGGAGGCCTACGATAATTTTACAGAAGTAACTGTCAACGTTTTAATGCTTGATTTTTCGTTCATCTTAACATATCTTTTGTAATCATCTATTATTTTTGAGCAAAAAAGAATAATAATAGCATAAGAGCCGTTGGGAATTGTGGTTAACGTTAAATCTTTAAAGAAAAAATGACTGTATCTAAAATTGTTATTTTCCTAAAAGGGGCACATTTGCCCCCTCTGCCCCTTCCAGTTACGACAAGGGGGCGCTGGCCCCTTCATCCCCACCGTTCCGGCGTTCCTGGTTATGGGTAGATTTTTAAATAACCTAGGCCTATGTAGCCCCAAAATGCGGTTAAAAGTTGAAAAACACTTTAAACTTTGAATCACGATTATAAAAGTATTGGATTCTTACATTTTTTCTGTATATGACAAAAAAATATGCAAAAGAGTTGCAAGGCCTTATAAAAGCAAAATTGCATGACCTTGGCAAATTTTTAGAGATGCCAAAACGAATTCAATTTTTAGATTCACATTTGCATAACAAAGACATTTATAAATAAAATTACAAAATCAAGCTACTAAAATTCAAATAAATTTACTGAATCTGAGAAAACGTTACAGTTTTATCAAATCATTGGATTTACTTAAGCTATCTTTAAAACTGCGTGGCACCAAAGGGAAAACCATTGTACTCGTCGACGATGATTAATTTTTGCTTTGAGAGAGCATTTTCTTCTTATAAAGTTGGAAAATTTGTATTTTTATGATATTCTAGCTATGTTTTTGCTTATGTTGCTGAATATAGCTTTTTTTTACATGACATCATAATTCTGGCATGGATTCAAACATACCACTTCGCAGCTTTCTAAGAGAAGACCTTTCACCCTTCGGCGTCGTAAATTTCTTACTGTTTTTGCATGAAGAATTTTCTACACACCATAAAAGCTGCACTCATTGTGCAGCCGACATTTTTAAAACTCTTATGTTTAAGTCTCTTTAAGTTAAAAGACTAAACAATTTTTATGGTTGATGTTTTTTTCATTTTTTTGACGTACATAAAAGGCTTCGAAACGTCAATAATATCTTGCGAAAATTTCATGGAAATAACTGCCGTACTTGTTTAATGATAAAGATTTTTATTCAAAATTGATTGCGTAAAGTATCTTCGAAATTTCAAAGTTGTCCCAATACTTTTTGAGTACAATTTTTCAAATTTTTCCAATGTACCAGTTATCGTTAGAATGCATTGCAACAACATAGAATTAATTACATTTGAGTCACCAAAGAAATTCATAGACATCCTTTGAGAGAACTCTTGCCTGTCCTAAAAAAAGCTATTAAGTCATTTTTTCCCGCAAATATTTGGAAAAATTCACACAGGGTAACTTCTCAATTGCTTACAAGCCACGGCAACTTCTCAATTGCTTACAAATCTTTTACTAAGTATTCTCTGCAGCATTTTAGGGGAAGCTGTATTAGTAATTTGGCAAATTTGATTCTCTTAAAGAATAACTATATTACTAAATAACTTTTCTATGGTATTTGCTTGCAATGCCAAGTACACTACCAGGTACACTACAGAAGTGTTGCAACACCTGCGAAGGCGATTAATGGCGGATCACGCAACAACTTTTGTTGTTGTCTTAATATGGAATTTACCGTGTTTGCCCTTTTTTTTGTTAACCGTGTTTGCCCTTTTTTCAAAAGGGGCTGCATTTAATATTGTCAGTTGATATCTTGGAGAAAATTTCTTCATGATTAGGTTCTTCTACGGAGAAAATTTCAGCGCAAAATTATGGGTTCGCAAAACTGTGAATTTTTTGGATGCCATTTTGATTTGGGTGTCGCAATACTTTCGTTCTGGTAGCGTACAAAGATATATCTCACAAGTAGCCTAAATCTTTTTTGCAGACGATGCACCGGCGGAGAAAACTTTTTGCTATCTGTTCTGTTGTTAGCAAGCATTGCCCTGGGCGTGTCCCAACGGGTATCTGAGAACTTCGCCATTTGCAGAAGTCTCGTATTTCGAAAAGCCTCTTTTTCAAGCAATTACACATGACTTGGTGTTACCCAGTACTTTCTGGAGCAAAAGCTCTGCCTCCTGAACAACTCGATCAAAAAAGGATTAATCGCGTAATATGTCATGGCGGATCATCAATAAATTAAAACCAGACGTAAAATCACACGACTTTGGTATAATTTAAACCAGCGACTGTATAACTCAAAGGTTTCCCGACAATTCAGCGGTACAAGACAATGTTCTATCGCATCAAGAGCTACACAAAGTGGTTTCAACTCACAATAGACCCCTTGATATCCTGGAAGTGAGTAAGAGAAAGCATATGAAACCAAGCCACATCAAGGAAGGTAGAATCTACCCCTTCCAATTAATTTGCAGTTCACTGCGGAGAGGCAACAGCTTCCTTCTTTAGTTTATGGATTGATAAGGTGTGCGCCATGACAATAGCGTAGCCAAGGTTGCAACATTGTGGAGGGGAGGGGGTTAAATATGAGCAGACAGAACCTAGCGTGTACGAAAAATTTCGTCCAAATCCTTAGGATACTGGAAAACATCTCATTTTTATTTGAATTGGTTCTCTCTGTTCATGTGCAATCACTGGCTTTTGCATTGGCTTATTGTGAATTCACACTTCTCTCAGACACAAAGCTTTCTTACCCTCCAGCCGTACCACTTCTGTTATTATCAATCTTATTGTTATAAAAGCTCTAAAATGTCTCTTTTGTGACGTTGAGCTTAGTAGATATTCAATCTTTATATTTTGATGAAATTCCTCGGCTGGGGGAGTGTTTTAATGATGATATTGATTAATGTTAATGACGATGAGAGGCGTGGCAGGCACCGTAGTGTTGAGAAATGTGAGGGGTCTAAAAAAGCGTGAGCGGGGGGCTAAAACTGAATAAAAAGCGTGAGCGGGGAGCTTTACTGGTGATGCATGGCTTAATGTTTAAACTTTTGAAAGAAGTGGTGGTCGAGGGGGAGGGCTAAAAAGAAACAGTGAAACAAACATTCTGTGCATTCGTTTGGATCGAATAGAAAAATTTCTTGATTCTTGTTTCCAATTTGGCCAGAATTAGGGTTTCGCCATGCACCCATTACCGTGTGAAATATCGGTGTAAACACTCGGCACTATCGGTTTTCAGATAAATTTGGACTAAACAAATCCCTAACAAGTACTCATCAACGTGAATGTATAGTCCAGTATCTTACCCCCTTTCTCCCTGCCTAAAATTGGAACGTATTCTTTTCGAAACAGAAATAACAACAAACTGGGTGAATGGGGGTGCAAATTTATTTCTCTCGCCAGTTCTCGATTAATCGTTTCTCGGCACTACCTGCAACTAATTTCAAAAATCTTTCTAGAAAAGCTGCCTAGTAAAAGACCCCACTACACTGTCGGAAACCGGGAACAAGGACTCTGAAATTGAGGAGATAAAAGCCATGGTTCAAATCACGCCTCGTTTTTATTGTTTTGTTTAGGATTTCATTTTTTTAACACGGGAACTTTACCTATGGGAATTTATTCCGAACTAGGTAATTTTACAAGAATTATATACAACTTACAAGACGATTTTGGCAATGCTGGTTGTTAGTTTTCTACGTAATTTTTAAAACTTAACTGAAAAGCTTGCCTGAAATAAAACATTGTCTCCATCTCAAAAAGGAACTTATGCAATATTAAAAAGTTTCAAGCTGCACAAAATTTTCTTGAGAACAAATCCAGAAAATGACAAAGTACGGCAAAGTATAAAGTACGGTGATTATCAAATTAACATACACTGTGGTCATATGACGAGAGATCTTTAATGATACTGGCAGTCATTTTGAAATATAATTGCTTTTTTATCGCACGTAAAACCTGTCGTTCTTCAATTTTTCTTAATATTTGCAAGAAAGCCTCTTTTTATCTAGGATTACTTGGAGATGGAATTTAGCCACGCAAATTCAGCTTATACAATTGCACGTCAAAATATCTGTACTACAGGTGTTAGTGAATTCTTCTAAAGACAAGACGATCTAGTGGTAAGTCACGAGTTAATTGAATATTTATCTTACGATTTCAAATTTCTACGGGAGAAGGCTATAGAACTTTTGAATCATTGACAACTTGAAGAATATATCGCGTCATAACTCATGAAACATTGACGAACTTAAAAGGCGCCGGAGATTTCATGTAGATGATTTCAAGTTAAGTGGAAGGTAAAGGGATCTGTAGTTTCAGGTTTGGTATAGAGTGGAGTCCACGATGATCGAATCTTTATGTATTGTGTTAGATAATATTTAGCTGCATAATTTAGTTCTCGTACACTTTTCGTGAATGTATGTATTTGTTGCAGAGGTTTTGGTAGACTGTCCATCGATCGGCTGTTGTAATATCAGAGATAAGGAGCATTCATGTTTTAATCTGGGGAGAACAATGACCTTTCCTGCATAGAGAAGTTTAGAATATCTTTGCATAGCTACTGGCAAAATCAAATCTTAGGAATTTATCAAGGAAGCACCCATCCTCCGTTTGGCCCCCAAGTTTCACATTTAAATACAGCGGTATATTTGTCAAAAAATGCATGACCCATCTAACCCTTTTAAAACTGAGCAAAAAACTAATGATTATAGAGTAAATCTTTACAGTATTAACGAATAGGAAATTACAAAACATTTCTAACTAAATTAGCAATTAGAAGCATGTTACACTGAAAAATAGAAACTCTCTGCAATATAAGAAGAGTGGTTCTTAAAATTATATCTCATTGGTCCCCATTTAGAAATGATCGAAAGTGTATAAATAAGTACTACACTGACTCCTTTAAAAGTTCTAGAAGCTTTCCTTACAGAATGATCAAGGACGATTCCAAGGATAAACCTCTCGAACTTACTTATTCTGTTTTATCATTCATTTACAAGCTATAAACAACAAACATTCTCGAGGTCATGTTGACTTAACGACTTGTTCCAAGCATTAATTGTATTTTTCGTGAATAAGCTACTATCAATGAAACCAAACACGATTGGGTCAATCTCTTTTTTAACGCGTCCTTGTACTCTCGTTAAACGTATCTTATAGTTTCTAGCGCGTCTTTACAGACAGCAGAAGCGTAAAGAGGATGAAACGTTATTCATAATTCAGCTCGGCTTCAGCTTACTAAGATATTGATATCTCTGGCTGATACCATAGCATAAAGCACATTAAAATGATATAGATTATGTAACAAGTTTCAGTAATACTTTTAGCATATCGCAAACGACTACTATTCTTGCTTCGAGTAGCCGACAAACGTATCCAGTTAAATTATTCAACTGACTGACTAAGTCATTACTAAAACATATACTCTTCCACTGTTAGGCTTTCTTTGAGTCGGAGAGACCTCGAAATTTACATTTGTGTGAGACATGGAGTCCGGGATACAATATATTTAGCTGCAGCAGTCGCTGAAATTGGCAAGCTCAGCCTGGCATTCTGATAAGGCACGACAGTAGTGGTAAGCGTGTACCTTGAGGCGGAAAAAAACTGTCCCTGAGATGGTGCAATTGGAGAATGACATTGACTCTGACATGGTAGATGGAAATTTGTCACATTCGTGTGTAAAGGTATTCCCGCACAAGAGATTGTATATGGCTGAGCCGCCGGTAAATTTAAGCTCTGCGGAGGCGGAGGTGGAGGTTGGGGCGGAGTCTGAAAAATACCAAATTGTCGAATTATGAGGTTAAATAACTCTGTAATTCAAAACAAAAATAAAAAAAAATTGCATCTTTAGACTTACAAAATGCTAAGTACGGCACAGTCTAACCTGGGTACTGGAGCCTCGTTAAAAATAATGGGCGAGTAGTGGTCGAACGTACAACGCACTTTTCACTGAAGCTCTGGCACCAAGGGTAGGCACAGCTGAGATCATGGAACCCGGCCCCTACATTACTAATAACGGTCGCCTAGGTTGAAGCCAGACACTTTTAAGAAAAACAGCCATTCTAAGTTAACTTTATAACTCTATTTCAGAAACTCTATTGCTTTTTCTACTAAACTAATATTTTTCAATCTCTGGGTTATTTCTTAAATTAACGTTCCTTCAGCAAATTGATATTATGCTCATTAAATTTTTAATGCTCAAATACTTTCAAAATAATTTCTTTCAACCCTCATCAGGTTCGGTTCTGCGTATATCTTACACTATTTCTTACACGCCTCAAATACTATCCTAAACGTTTTTTACGTTTCGATATAAAGGTTTTCATTTTCAAGGATTGAAAGTGCTTTAAATATTAACAGTAGAATAATACTCACTTCTTGTTGCACTTGGTCCATCCTGAAGAAGACCTTTTGTCCGGACATAGGAGATGCAGGTGAAACTGGCGGCGTGGTAGGGTCAATTAACGGACGAAGCTCGCATATCTGATGGAAAGAAGACCCTAATTAAACCCAGACAGTTGCTGTGTAAAGAATATAGCAAACGGGGCGATAAATGTCTGCAGTCAAAAGGCAGCGAATAGGAGAAGGAAAATAGAAAATGGAACACCAAAGTTAGCTTGAACTTAAGGAACACAGGTTCAAATAAACATTCAATACGACTGAAATTCCACACATTGAAATGTCGATAACCTCCAGTTATCTTTGAATATTTTCTATATATTTAGAGATGCATAATCAAAATAACATTGCTCAGCATTTCAATTTGCTCAGCATTTCAATTCTATCTGCTGCATAGAAGTAAAGCACTGTGCCTACAAAACTCTTTCATTTTTGCCTAATACATCAGAAAGTAAATTAACATTTCAAAGGGTATTGATAAAAAGTTATTTAGGTTTATTTACAGCAATAAATTCATTATTAGGGTCCTTTGAATTATACATAACTACTGCCTTATCAATTTACCATCTGCAATTTCAACTGTGTTTTTCTGAGCCCCCTCTCTCTGAGCTTTATATACTTACTATTATTTGGCTAGCAAGAAACAGTCAAGCATGGAATCCCAGCTGTTACATAAGGATAATGAATTCTAACACTCTAATAAGGATTCGTTCTATATGCCTTCATAACATCCTTTAAGGCCTGGTTCAAACGTCGCACTTCTCATGTGCTGAACCTAACCCTGTTTGGAACGACACTTGAGCATGTTTAGCGCGACAGCTCGACTCCCGTTTCAAACGTCGAACTTAATCATGTGGCGCCAAATGAGTTTTAGGATTGTTACATGAAGTATCTTGGTTAAGGCGCGCAATCTCAAATATTCGTTTGAAACGCATGCGCCCTCAAAGAAAGAAATGAATTCTGGGAAGGAAAATAAATTAAATATAATTATGCATTGAGTTCGGTACATGACAAGTTCGACGCTTGAAACCGTGCCGTACTGGAGCCATGCAGTTTGGCAAGCTCTGCCGATCCGCTCCTAACTAAATCTGCCGTACCAAATTGATTCAAACGTCGCGCCCCTCATGTACTTTATTCTCGAGTTAGGTTCGGCACATGAGGAGCGCGACGTTTGAACTAGGCCTAAGACTGCAGTATAAGGGTATAAGCGTTGAATGCAAGGAATATACAAGCAAGAGCCTGAATCATTCAGCGAATGATCGCGAAGCATATTACGAATTTGTGTGGGGAATAAAAAGTTTTGGGGATAAACATGCGAATGGCCAAAAGCGAGGTTATTTTTGCATTGGTTTCAAAATTATTAGGGAATCTTCAGCCCCCGAACCCCTGTTGATAGTTGTTTTAAAGGTTGTTAACCCATATACATTGAAACTGCATGCACGATTGTTAAAACTGCTGATGCAATGCTGACACGAGTTCAGTATTTCTGTGCATTGAGTTTTTAGGCCAGTCACACAGCCCACGAAGCATTCTACAGACAAACTGCCTTTAAGTATTATCAAGATATCCTGTTTGCGCGTTGTAAACAAACAGCCAAATTTTCCAAAGAAGCCTGGAATTTTGTCTAGGCTTACCAGCCCACTACTGTAGCTTGCACTCCTGTCTGGGCCAGAAATGCCACTGTGGAGGCCATGCTGTTCACCTACGACAAATTATGCAGGGTATTGTGTCCAGAAACAAATTTCTGTGTATGGGACCCTTTCTTCAGTCGCAGTAGCCAAAGCAGGGGAGTAGATTTGCTCTTTCTTTTGTTATCAGAAATTTGAATATCAATATTATTATCTCCTGTAAAAGTCCCTCAAATGCTGGAATTTTATTCATGTTGGAGATCGAGAGTCCATTAGATTTAAAGACCTTTATATCGCCGTTCCGATTAAACAGCAAACAAAAACTCAAACAGTTCTTTTCCAAGGCTTAGTCCGCTTCTTTGATTTGAGATCAATTTTATTCATCAGAAAATATTTGCGTAATACATTAGCAATTTGGTAAAACTTTGAAAAGGATAAAATTGTGGTGAAAAAGGTTAATAGCAGTTTTATACATTACTCTTCCAAATCATAACAGTTGATTAGGAAAAACCCACATTATACATAACAGAAAGCGAGCTTGATAAACTTGTTAGTTCTTTCACTTGGCTTTAGACGACAAAATGAAACTAATTAATACATCAACGTGTCTTATATTGTAGCCTACGAAACTTAAATACGATGGAATATCCCTGTTTATCCGATAAAAGGAGCCGATTATACTTCAACCAAAGCCGCAAAATATCTAAATTGATTTTCGCAAGAAACCAAACCATTCATACAAACATTAAAATCAACTGATGTTTTTCGGAATCACGGGCGCCCATTCCAGAGGGTTCCTGGCTCAAATATTTAATTTTCATACAACCTTGGACAGAAAATCAGAAATCCATTTTTTCTTTTAAAGTTTCCGGCAACAGGCTACGATGTCATTTAAGAAGAAAATTATGATGGACCTAATAAAAAATGGCAACAGGAGTTTAGGGCCAAGTCCACGTACTGGAGCTTTCTAGTTTATGTATAATAAGATTTGCGTATAATAAGATTAAAATGTTAGGGATTGTTGCTTAGGAAACGAAAGATACTTTCAATGAAGACTGGATGTCCTAGAAACCAACTGTCCTAAGTAAAGAGCAACAATAAAATGATTTTGAAACACTCGGCCTTTCAAAGCAAGTGAAGATACAATGCTATTCTAACGACGCATTTGTCTTCCATCTAGCAGCTAGGGGCCTTTTTATCCAGATATAAGTTCTGATCCTATTCTATGGAAGGTTTCAAGTTCCAAGAATCATCATAACATTTTTAGCGCATTCCAACCTATAAGGCCTGGGCTTAAATCAGAGCAAATACAAACCAAAGAGACTCAATGTTTTCTTGGTAGTAGATCAGCTGATTTCAAAGCCAGCTACGGCTCAGGTAATGTCTTGTCATATTCTATCACTGGCGGCGCCAGCCACTACGCTCTGGGGGACAAAACAAAAAAATTTAGGCCACGCTCTTTTACAAACGAGGAAAGCCAATTTTACCTGAGAGGAACGTCCATAACTAACTGTTCCCTATGTAAAGGCAGTTTGGAAATCAAAGGATGACATCAAAAAGTACGTTGCCAAAATATTACCCCTCCCCCAACATTTTCTCATCGGATTTAGACGAAATACAAAATTGATCCTGCCGAGAACCCCCGTGGCGCCGCTACTGTATTCTATAACAAAATGGTGAATCGGCCACATCAGCCTATCGGTACAGATGCCCGCATCAGTACAGTTGAACTTATTTCTTCGAACGCAATGTGATAAGAAAAATAGGAAACGAAGCATTTCTTTATCATTTTGTTTTATTCTTCCAGGTCTACAGAGTTTCATGTCCAGTTTCACATTTCGAATTCCAGATCTAAGAAACGTACCCGCATCCAGCTTAGAATAAGCGTTGGATAGGTTTATATGATATTACAGTTATTGGCCGAGGAAGCAATTGGAAAAAGAAGAAATGCAAGGTGAAAAAGAAGAAAACGATGGCACGAAGAGTTGTGACCCTCTCTAAAAATACTGTTTTAAGCGAGCTTAAAAAAATTAAGAAAACTAACTCTACAAATTTCACTTCCTTTGCCAAGTCTTTAATACAGTACTCCGCGCTCCGCCTCTCTCTCTCTCAATGAATTTCAGTTTGAAAGTCCATCAACATTAGACAGAATTATTTATTTTAAACAAAAAATAGGTTTTTTCTTTTAATACGAGGATAACTCAGTGGTTCGGGTCTCTGACTACAGATTCAAGGATCTGTGGTTCAAACCCCTGACCTGACCGAACTTTCGATCAGAGTGAGGACAGTACCCTGGGCACCAGAAATATAGTTAAAAACTAGCACAGAAAACTTTTTTGAGCGAGGATTGGAAACAGACCCTCTCCCCTCCCCGCATCCACTCATTCTTTGCCACCGTTGCTGTATACAATACTTTACCCCGGCATTCATGAGGCTTTTGTGGCCAGGGTACGAGGACAGTTGCCAGCGCTTTGTATTTCCAGGCGTAGGAATCACAAGGTTTGGTCACATCAAGAGGAAGGAGCAGGACACTGCTCGATAAGCACAGCCTCTCAGTGTCCTAAAACTATCTTCGGATGCTAGGTAGCAAATGTAAATAGGCTTGCCTGATTAAAATTATGCGTCAATAAAGCATAAAATGAAAAAGTCGCTTATATCTCTGTGAATTTGAATACAAAGATTAGAACAGTTATTTTTTTACATTGAGTAATAGACTTGAGTTACTGTAGTGGTTTGATAAGAAGCTTTCTCAGCTCTTACTAGAATTAAAGTTTAATTAAAGAATTACACTTAAATTTAAAGAATGTTTATGATAATACTCACTGAAAGGGGTCTTTATTCAAATGGTTTGGTAACGATTCACTTGCTCAGGACATGTGACATCAACAGTCGGCACTGGGATTGGATAAAACTTAAAACGCTTTCCTTAACTTTTGCATTGTCATTATCATTAGTATCACAAAAATAATTATGGTAAGGTTTTTTGACTGTGGAAGAAATATGACCAGAGCCCACGCCACTGGGGGGAGGGCACAGCGGACATGGCCCTCTCCCTTTTTGGCCAGCAAAACATTTCCAGATCACGATGAATAAATTACAGATGAATGAAGATGTCGAATGACCACCTGGATTTCACAGTATTAAACATTTCCAGCCACAGAATCCAAGGTCAATTCGCCAGACTTGGCTTTGGATTTCGTGATGTGGGAATTATACAGTAGAACACTGCACAAGGGCTAAAATGGCCATCACGAGACCCAGTCACTGCTGTGTCAGGTCGAATGGTTCGACGTCATTCTGCAGATTGCAATCATTATGTTAACATTCTAACCTGGCTTCTGTTGAATGACCCACTGTTTCCTTTTGCAGGATCGGGTGAAAACAACATGCTTGGTTGACCGTCTGGCATCTGAAATAGCAAGAGCTTTGAAATATAGAATTGAAGCATAAGAAAATATTATGAAAAGATAAAAACGATGATACAACATATTTCAGTCTAAAACAATCAATTATGAAAAGAACTTGTCATCAAAACAACCAGAACTAGAACCATTTGGTGTGAACATGTTCAAAGTTTAATTTTCATAGCAAGGCTTTCCAACAAATATTCAAGCTTGTTCAGCCCGTAGTACATATTCCGTGTAAACTTTAAAACCAACAGCGTTCTTGATATTGCTGATTTGGTTCGTTTTTCGCTTCTAGCTTTGACCAAGTTGAGCTTAGCCTCCTATCACAAGGGTAGCAAACTTCACAAAAATGCCATTTATACGGCAAAAATGTGAGTGGATGTGCCAAAACAATTAGGGATAGAAATATTTGAATCGTTAGGAACTCATATTTAAGAGATATTTAAGTCTGTCAATGTAAAAGGAATTCCTTATGGTTCGAGTTTATTGGTCGTCTTTTTGTTTAAATTATACTTGCACCTATGGAAAGTTCAGTTCACATTTATGTCCACATGCAAAGTGTCATTTTCTTGGAAAGTTGGGTAAATGAAATCTCCAAGTTTGGCGCAAGCATTTTCTGTCTTTACTTGTTATCTCCAAACATATAATTAAACTCTTCTATGAAGTACAATTTTTAAATAACACTTCAGACATCAAACTTAACAGTTTGTAAGAGGCGAAGTTCTGTGATGTTAAATCTAGTTGTGAATGATACAATAGATGTGAGGAAAGTATCATTTCTCAACAATACATTCCACGAGCAGGGATGGATTGGCACCTGAAAAAGGACTTGATGGGATTTCAAAATTGCAGCATCCCACCAAAGCCAATTGAGGTAAGCAAAAAATAGGCTTCTACGAGTATTTTCATTTCAATTTAAGGTTCTTACAGTTCTTACAATGTGTGTATCTGCTGTTACTTTCTTAAAGTCACGATTCATCAAAAGCAATCCTTACAGGAAAGGGGGCACTTCAATTTAAATTTACTTCTGATGAAGTCCCTTCGGACTGCAGCACGGTAGCACGGCTGGCCAGCCCACCCCTCATAAGCTTTATTTAGCGAGCAATTGGAGAAGTGGTATGAAACTCTAAGTTGTTGTGAAAGGGACGAGTTCTGTTAGAAAAGACGTTTCATCTTAACATGAAGTACTCAACCTATTAGATTTACCTCGTGCTTTGTAAATGCAATATGGCAGAATTCGTTTCATTGTTGGATATGTTGTGTGTCATTTTCGCATATCTACAAAAATCTTCCGCGTAACTCTAACAAATTCTTGCTAAGGACTGGTTAAGGGAATCTGGTTCAAAAATGAAACAGGAATCGTATCTAATAACCCATGCTTAAATCGTTTGATTATCTGATAAATCGATAAAGGCCTGGCACTCGAGTTTGGGCCTTTTTTAAATATTTTTATCAAGACAAAAATTAAAAAAATATAAGGGAGACTAACCATTCTTTTAACCGCTGGTCCGACGTTGATTTTTTTCCCTCGGAAGAAGATGCACCCCTGACCCAAAACTCTTTGAACATCGTCATTTGTGGCAAAAGTAATAAATCCAAATCTGAAATTTATTGACATACCATTAACTTACAAAAACGTTTTGAAAACAAGGCACAGAAGACACATTTTTTATAAGAATAAGCTTTATAGGAAAGTTGAGGCCTGGGAAATTTTGAAATCCAAAATTAAAGATTTTTGCCAGGCTAGAAATTTATCTACATTTTAACTATATATCTTTCTAAGGCGAACAAGAAAACGTGCATTTCAATTGTGCTCGTGCACTTCATTTGCCAAACTTTATTGCGGGACTTATTAACAAAATAGCAAAAATCATTTTAGGCCGGTATTCAAAACTTGTAAGTAAATCGAAAATATTAAGGAAAATATGAAAAACCTACAGGTACAACCATGCAGTGTTGCATAGCTAGCTAGTCAAAAATTTTTGAGGGGAGAGGGTGAAACACCCTCCTTGTTGACATGGAAATAGTACGGGATAGGACGGGAAAGGACGGGAAAGGACGGGAAAGGACGGGAAAGGACGGGAAAGGACGGGAAAGGACGGGAAAGGACGGGAAAGGACGGGAAAAGACGGGAAAGGACGGGAAAGGACGGGACAGGGCGGGACAGGGCGGGACATGACTCGCGAATTCATAAAAATCTCAAGGTGCTACAAGGACTTTTAGCAGGCATTGCATATGCAGTGTCGTGGGATTAAATGGGGGTAAGATGCTCATTTTTAGACACCGTTAACCCCAACGTAAATTAACTGTAAACAAAATTATGGGATATCCCTACACATTGTTAAAGTCTTGCGAGCTAGTTCTAGAAATAAATAAAGCGAAGAGTTTTTTGGAGAAATTTTCAAAGAATTGTCACAAACAAAGAGGCCTGAAATTCGCAATAAAGAAATTGGGTCAACTTAACATCATCACACCTTCTAGAATTTCCATTGCAGTCAAGCACGACTTTTCCTTCCAAGACTGTTCCAAATTTTTTGAAAAACTCTGCCAAGTCATTGGCACTCGCCTATATAGATGATAAAATAAATGTATCATTATTCACTCAGTCAACATCAAAAGCAAATTCTTTGGTAAATGTGACAATTTTTATGTACGAAGAATGAGTACATGAAGGGGGGATTTTGCTCGGCTCGATGGGTATCCATATATATATATATATATATATATATGTAGAATTGTTGCCAATTGTGTAACAATGGATCGGCATTTTGATGAGTTCAACAATGGAAACATAGAAGCCGAATTCAAAGGCGGGAGACAATCGAAACAATGCAGGCATAGAATGTCAAAATCAAAGGATTTTCCCAATTTTCCCAAACGAACAATCGAGAATCGTGAGTTTCCCGATTAAGTGGGCAATTGAGGTTCGCTAATCGACACTTAGGTCTATAATCGTGCTATTAAATTGGGTTCGGCTGCTAGCCTGAGATCCCCTTTGTGGTCATCCTCTTAGATTCGACCAATCACCATTAGTTTTGCTCGTGACGTTGGGCAGTTAAAATTGGTTCTGCACGTGCATGTTGAACGGTAGCCAGAATAGATCAGAAACTTCTCGTAATCGAGAATGGTGCTTTCATCCTGTCAAGCGTCAACGTAATTAGACGTATAATTTGCAATTTGCTATGTGGGATACAAAAGAAAGTGCGGGAATATGCGATTTCACGTTTCACGAGTTTCTGCAAGAATTAACTTTCATGCAAGGAACTCGGGACATTTAAAGAGTCTGAAGCAAGGGCGGGAAATTCGAATATATTGCAAGTATCAGAAATCTGTTTAGTTTTTCGCAAGTTTTGCAAAGTCGGTGAAAGTTATTCGAAAGTTTCCAGGCTATGCAAAATTGTCGCAAAATGCTTGCAGGTACTTTCCAGTTTTCTCTAGGGTTTATCCAAAATTCATTCCAAATTCTTCAGACCCCGTTGGATAAGGTAGTTTGGTGTAGGAAAAACATAGAAACAACGGGAATTTGTTAAAAGTCTGTCAGACTAACAGTTACGAGAATGATCAATTAATGATTTGGGGAACTGTGACTACATTTCTTAATCAAACGGTTCAATTGCCAAATTAAATAAATCTTTGCACTCGCAACTAGGAAGTTTACGAAATTAAAAGTTTGGCTGCTCACAATTACGTACGAAAGATTCCCCTTCGTAATCCAGTAATTGCACTGCCGCGAGATCATTATGCTGGAACCGTTTTGTCAGCGCGGGTCGTTAGAGATCGTTAGGCACGCATCGATTTCTCCTTCTGCAAAGGTTGATAGTGGAATCCAAAGCTCTGGGTTTGTAAACTTACTGCGTCATAGCAGTTCCCGCCGTTTATCAAGAAACTGTAAATATGCGAAACGCATTTTGATAAAGCAACCGAATAAAAATAATTTTTCGTGTTATGCTATCAAGCAAAAAATGTCCTTCGTCATATCAAAAAAACAAAATCCCAGTTAGGTCCCACTCACAGAGCCCCAATATATGAGTTGTGTAAAGTTGCTGCGTCATAGCTTGTGCCGCCGTTTTTTTAGGCATTCTCATAAAACATAAAGGTTCTTAGTTGTCTGGGAAACAGACTGGAAGCGCATCTAGAAAAGTTCAGACTTTTAATACATTTGGAATCTTCGTTGTCGTCATCATTGTCATCGTCGTCATCATAATCACCATCATTATAATCATCATCATCATAATCATCAATCATCAATCATCATCATCAATCATCATCATTATAATCATCATCATCAATCATCATCATCATCAGTTTTGTCCACATCGCCAATTCATAATATCGAAGTACCATTCCTCCACATTCTTCGTACATTGCAAAAGCCGTGCTATTTTTATGTACGAAGAATGAGTACATGAAGGGGGGATTTTGCTCAGCTCGATGGGCATCCATATATATAGATATATATATATATATATATATATATATATATGTAGAATTGTTGCCAATTGTGTAACAATGGATCGGCATTTTGATGAGTTCAACAATGGTAACATAGAAGCCGAATTCAAAGGCGGGAGACAATCGAAACAATGCAGGCATAGAATGCCAAAATCAAAGGATTTTCCCAATTTTCCCAAACGAACAATCGAGAATCGTGAGTTTCCCGATTAAGTGGGCAATTGAGGTTCGCTAATCGACACTTAGGTCTATAATCGTGCTATTAAATTGGGTTCGGCTGCTAGCGTGAGATCCCCTTTGTGGTCATCCTCTTAGATTCGACCAATCACATTTAGTTTTGCTCGTGACGTTGTGCAGTTAAAATTGGTTCTGCACGTGCATGTTGAACGGTAGCCAGAATAGATCAGAAACTTCTCGTAATCGAGAATGGTGCTTTCATCTTGTCAAGCGTCAACGTAATTAGACGTATAATTTGCAATTTGCTATGTAGGATACAAAAGAAAGTGCGGGAATATGCGATTTCACGAGTTTCTGCAAGAATTAACTTTCATGCATGAGTCGTGGAAAATATATTGTAAGTGTTTCAAATCTGTTTAGTTTTTCGCAAGTTTTGCAAAGTCGGTGAAAGTTATTCGAAGATTTCCAGGCTTTGCGAAATTGTCACAAAATGCTTGCAGGGATTTTTCAATTTTCTCTGGGGTACATCATCATCATCAATCATCATCAATCATCATCATAATCATAATCATCAATCATCATCATCATCATCATCATCAATCATCATCAATCATCATCAATCATCATCATCATCATCAATCATCATCATCATCAATCATCATCAATCATCATCATCATCATCATCAATCATCATCAATCATTATCATCATCATCATCAATCATCAATCATCATCATCATCAATCATCATCATCAATCATCATCATCATCAATCATCATCAATCATCATCATCATCATCATCAATCATCATCAATCATTATCATCATCATCAATCATCATCAATCATTATCATCATCATCATCAATCATCATCAATCATTATCATCATCATCAATCATCATCAATCATTATCATCATCATCATCAATCATCAATCATCATCATCATCAATCATCATCATCAATCATCATCATCATCATCATCATCAATCATCAATCATCATCTTCATCAATCATCATTAATCATCATCAATCATCATCAATAATTATCAATCATCATCAATCATCATCATCATCATCATCATCAATCATCATCATCAATCATCATCATCATCAATCATCATCAATCATCATCATCATCATCATCAATCATCATCAATCATTATCATCATCATCATCATCATCAATCATCAATCATCATCATCATCAATCATCATTAATCATCATCAATCATAATCATAATCATAATTATCAATCATCATCAATCATCATCATCATCATCATCATCATCATCATCAATCATCATCATCATCAATCATCATCAATCATCATCATCATCATCATCAATCATCATCAATCATCATCAATCATTATCATCATCATCATCATCAATCATCATCATCATCAATCATCATCATCATCATCAGTTTTATCTACATCGCCTTTTCATAATATCGAAGTACCATTCCTCCACATTCTTCGTACATTGCAAAAGCCGTGCTATTTTTATGTACGAAGAATGAGTACATGAAGGGGGGATTTTGCTCAGCTCGATGGGCATCCATATATATAGATATATATATATATATATATATATATGTAGAATTGTTGCCAATTGTGTAACAATGGATCGGCATTTTGATGAGTTCAACAATGGAAACATAGAAGCCGAATTCAAAGGCGGGAGACAATCGAAACAATGCAGGCATAGAATGCCAAAATCAAAGGATTTTCCCAATTTTCCCAAACGAACAATCGAGAATCGTGAGTTTCCCGATTAAGTGGTCAATTGAGGTTCGCTAATCGACACTTAGGTCTATAATCGTGCTATTAAATTGGGTTCGGCTGCTAGCCTGAGATCCCCTTTGTGGTCATCCTCTTAGATTCGACCAATCACTTTTAGTTTTGCTCGTGACGTTGGGCAGTTAAAATTGGTTCTGCACGTGCATGTTGAACGGTAGATCAGAAACTTCTCGTAATCGAGAATGGTGCTTTCATCCTGTCAAGCGTCAACGTAATTAGACGTATAATTTGCAATTTGCTATGTGGGATACAAAAGAAAGTGCGGGAATATGCGATTTCACGTTTCACGAGTTTCTGCAAGAATTAACTTTCATGCAAGGAACTCGGGACATTTAAAGAGTCTGAAGCAAGGGCGGGAAATTCGAATATATTGCAAGTATCAGAAATCTGTTTAGTTTTTCGCAAGTTTTGCAAAGTCGGTGAAAGTTATTCGAAAGTTTCCAGGCTATGCATTTTTTTCGCAAAATGCTTGCAGGTACTTTCCAGTTTTCTCTAGGGTTTATCTAAAATTCATTCCAAATTCTTCAGACCCCGTTGGATAAGGTAGTTTGGTGTAGGAAAAACATAGAAACAACGGGAATTTGTTAAAAGTCTGTCAGACTAACAGTTACGAGAATGATAAATTAATAATTTGGGGAACTGTGACTACATTTCTTAATCAAACGGTTCAATTGCCGAATTAAAGAAATCTTTGCACTCGCAACTAGGAAGTTTACGAAATTAAAAGTTTGGCTGCTCACAATTACGTACGAAAGATTCCCCTTCGTAATCAAGTAATTGCACTGCCGCGAGATCATTATGCTGGAACCGTTTTGTCAGCGCGGGTCGTTAGAGATCGTTAGGCACGCATCGATTTCTCCTTCTGCAAAGGTTGATAGTGGAATCCAAAGATCTGGCTTTGTAAAGTTACTGCGTCATAGCAGTTCCCGCCGTTTATCAAGAAACTGTAAATATGCGAAACGCATTTTGATAAAGCAACCGAATAAAAATAATTTTTCGTGTTATGCTATCAAGCAAAAAATGTCCTTCGTCATATCAAAAAAACAAAATCCCAGTTAGGTCCCACTCACAGAGCCCCAATATATGAGTTGTGTAAAGTTGCTGCGTCATAGCTTGTGCCGCCGTTTTTTTAGGCATT